TGTCTACAAAAGAAGCAGAGATGTAGTTAGCCTTGTTAGTCTTTAAGTCAAGCAGACTGTGGGGTACATTTGCACCTCACAGACTAACCGAAGTAGATCTGTAGATGACAGAGGCTTTATTGAGCTGAAGCTTACTTCATCAGGATGCATCCAACACTTTGCTCAGCAAAGCCTGTGCTGCATCTAGCTCAGTGGGTTTTCAACCGGAGGTCGGCGGGCCCCTGGGAGCCTGCACGCTATATCTCAGGGGGTCTCAAAGCTTAGTCTGAGCAATCAAAAGCGTGTGAACACCCGCCCTTCCCATTCCCAGGGGCCCGCACCTCCATCCCCGATTTTGGAGGTTATAAGGCACTGCGGTAGACAGAGATCCGCTGCGGGGGCTCTAGAGGGTCCGGCTGCCAGGCCGTGACCCCTGGGCGGGCGGCGGCGGCGGGCGGGGCGCGCGCTCCCTGGAACAGCCGGCCACGTGCTTTCCGAGAAAGCGCCGGCAGAGCTAGAAAAGAGCCGTTGCGGGGAAAGCGAAAGTCAGGGCGAGCAGGAAGGGCGGGAGCGGAGCGGAGCGGAGCTCGGCTGGGGCTGGGGCTGGGGCCTCAGGTATAGCCGGAGGAGGCTGTGTCCGTTGCTCCTTTGGCTTCTTTCCCTGCTGCAGGCTGTCAGAGGGCGGCCGCAATTGCACGCCGGTGGGGGAAGCGCCCAGGCCAGAGGGTCGCCATCCTGCAACCCCGGGGCCCAGGGGTTTTGTGCACCCCCAAGCGCTGGGTATCATGGCAGGGATCCCCAGGGGGGTCATCCCCTCACTCCATCCTTGGGGATCACAGCTGCCTCGATCCCTAAGGCCCAGGCGTTTTACACTGGGCATAAGGTAAACCCGTGTGGCTGGGATGGCTCCCAGCCCTATGGTGGACCCTGCTACCCCAATGAAAGGTGGGCAGCACCTGGCTGTAAAGTTAGTACATATTTATTTTGGAGGTCTAACCTTATAGCTGGTTGGGGGGTTTTATGGCAGGATAGCTACTTTGCACATATACGTGTGACACAGCCGCTGGGCACATTTAAAAGCACCTGGCACTGTGTCACGTGCACTTGCATAAATGGCAAAATGCACATTGGTGCTGAGAAAATGGTGGTGGTGTGCTTTTGAACTAGTTCAGGGGTTTTCAACCTTTCTGGGTCAGTATACTCCTGGCAGCCGGTCAAAAAAGGAGTCCCCTGGCAGCCCGTGAACACCTGGGGGGTGGAGGGTTCCCCAACAGCTGGTTGACAAGAGTGCCAGTGGTGCCTGCTGCTGAGTACCCCCTGAGGCCTTCCCAAGTACCCCCAGGGGTACACATGCCCCTGGTTGAAACCCCCTGAACTAATCTGCAATTCCTGTAGAGGGGGCCTTCTGGTATCCCTGCCCTACCACATCTTGGCAGCAGGAAGCGAGAGCTCCTGTTCTGCTTAAACCAGATGCTTTGCTACAGGCTGAGGGGGCAAACCTTCAAATTTCAGCTGTAACCACAAGTGCTCCATTTTTTTTATTTCTGTCGATCAAATGAGACGCTCAGTAGAACTGCAAGTTTTGAGAGCATGTTGCTTCAAAGTTCTTGGCAGCGATGGACCTTTCCCCTATGAAGAAGTGTTGTCATCTTTGAGGACATTCAAGTTCTTTTTAGCATTTTGCCTTTATAAAGTGTGTGCAGTGATTCTCAGCCAGGGTGCTAGGCCTATCCTGGGGTGCCGCCAGTTTCTTTGAAGGGTGCCGCAAGTTTGAACTGTTCTATTTCTAAAGAAAGTATCAGGATAACCACCTAAATTGAATTAGTTCTTGATTGTTGAACAACTACAGACAGAAACCAAAAAAATATTGTCAGTTCTTCCAGGTATCTGTCTCAGTTCAGGAAAGGGGTGTTCTTTCCCACTGGGTTTGCTGATAGAAACCTTTTCTGTATAAAATGTGAGGAGATAAGTAAATAAGCTAAGTTCTAAGCCAGGCTAATGTTGTCCTTGCCTGGAGGATCCCCCAGCCCTCCTGCCAAGTTCCTGTGTAAGGAGATAAGTATTGTCATAAATTGGTTTTTGACACTGGGTGCCACTCAATTCACAGAATTTATGGAGGGGCACCTTGAGTCCAGTCAGGGATACCTTGAGTCCATAAAAGTTGAGGACCACCAGGTTAGGGGCTCCTGTAGACACACATGGTCCCTACTAGCATTGTGACATGCACCAGTAATTTAGCTGGTACCCATCCCTTACTCCAGAGAGAGCTCAGTTTGATCAAAGGTTAAATCTTTAATGGTTTAAAGGGACATATCATATGAAATGATTCCCACACCGACACAACAAAATTTTTCTCATGTCAAATTGAATGCCTGAACAGACTGGTGGAGAAGGGGGAGAGAGAATTCCTGGTTGCAGACAGCCTTATTCTTTCAAACCTGATATTTGGATTGCTGTGTCTGGCTATGAACACACATTCAAATAATCTGGGAGGATTCTCCCAGGTGCGGTCTGGTAAAGAAACTTACCCAGAGCCAGGTGTACAGACATTTGAATTGCTGAGCCCCTGAAGAGTGGAGAGCTTGCAGAGCTGACGCTGTGCAGCCAGGGAGGGGCCCTGTGCACATATCTCAGTGTGCTCTGCAGGCTCCTTTAGTCTGCCTGGTGACAAATGGCTACAGTATATAGGGCAGCCTTGACTGGCTGACCTAAACTGCCCTTGATCAGCCTGTGTTTCCCTGCAGCATAATGTGAGGATTGTGAAATGGGTGTGCTTTTCAGAGCAGCAGAGTCCAGTGAACAACACAGTTGCCCAGGAAAGAGGGGGACCATGGAGGACCATACTCTCTTCTGAGACCAGCCATAGCATGTACAGATATTCACTGTCCCAGGAGAAACTCCTTGGAGTGATTTATCCCTGGTTGTTCCCAGGTTACTTTTCTCCTGGAATGGCCATTTTTACTCTAGGAGAAAAAGGCCAAACATCTGGACACTTGTGGTTTCTCCTGGGCAAGCAGCAATTCTCCCAGGAGAAACAATGTCTGAACGAGGCACGTCTTACTGACTAGCCAAAACAGAGTCAGTATGGTATGCGGATATCTCAAAGGTCAACACAATATGCAACACTTTTGTTTAAAAATATTATAAAGGGTTAAGCAATAAACACATGCTGTGGCTGATGCTGGATAAATTTGAGGCTTGCTTCTTTAAATGTCTTGGTTAGCACTTGCAGGTTGTTGGTTGAAGCCATGTTGGTCTAAGGACATAGGCAGGCAAGGTCTTTGGGTAGAACAAATACGTTCTTTGCAAGCTTTCAGGCACAAACACACTTGAAGAAGGATGTTTGTGCCCAAAAGCTTGCAAAGAACTTTTTCCCAGCTATTTAGTTGGTCTAATAAAAGATAACACATCTACCCAAAGAACCTTGCCTACTTGGTTAGCATTTGTAATTCAGATACGGGAACAACCCAGGAGACTGAGTACTGTTATTTTTGTTCTATCCTTACAAATTCCACAGAAGTTCAAGAATCAACATCCAACCAAAAACTGCTTTTATTTATATCATTTGTAAATTACAGAGATTATGAAACTATATACATGGTTATCCTTTGATCTGGGACACTGTTTTTGTGGAAAATTACTTATGTTCATAAGTTTCTCAGACAAAGTTTGACTTCATTTCCGTAGGCAGCTATAAATCATTCAGAATGGACAGTTGCAGAAAGATGTTTTTGTTTCTTTTATATCTATTCCACACACAGCAAGGAGACATATCACAAATCTGACAGTGGAGTACTCTCTCCCCTTGCTTTCCCAAAGGCTTACAAATGAAAGCAACACTGATAGTCACAATTTTTTTCTGAGGAAAAGATAGATGCCTCCTTGATGTCAGTTACAGACTGCTAAATTCAACAGAGCCAGGATTTCTTTTCCAGCAAATAAACTCATAAGGTGCAAATATTTAGGGGTATACGTTTTTTAAAAAGTCAGTTATATGCTCCAATAATCATTTTCTCATATATATCCATATTATGCATGCATAATTAAGTGTGTTCAGAGTCAATACTTTAAAGGAAGCCTTTGGATGCCTATTGTTAAGAGTAATGTAGATCTTGGTAAATTTGCAACAGACAGTTCTGCGTAAAGACAGTTAAATCTATTGTGACTGAAACAAAAAGGTCAAATTACCACTTATTTATTTTTATTAGGGATGAACCGACAGAGATTTTTGGGGCCGATACTGATAGCCGATATTTAAGGAGGCATATCAGCCAATACCAATCTGATTTCTGATACAGCTGCCCCCAGCTGGTAAGTCCGGTGTGGTGGAAGGAGAGGGGGGAGGGAACAGGCATGGGGGGGCAGATCAACGCCCCCCGCAGTGAGGGAGGGGGCAGGGGCAGACACTGCCCAGGCGGGGCAGGGAGCGGGGTGTGGAGACGGGGCTCGTGGGGGGAGGCGGCTCCTGCAGCTGCTTGCACCCTGGGAGGGCATGAGGTGGGGGCGCACATGCCCCCTGGACCTGCATGGGCTGCAGCCGGGGCTGTGCAGGGCTCTTCTCAGTAGGGGCTGAGCTTCGAGCGGGCGCCAGTGGTTCAGGGAGGATGCTGCATCCACCTCATATTTTGCTCCCAGCACTGCTGCTGCCAACTGACCACCGCAGCCCTGGCTCTTTCCGGCACGTGGGTGGAAGCAGGGCACTGAGCCAGGGCTCTGCTGGGCACCTGACAGCGGCAGCGCTGGGAGCAGAGTGGTGGTGAAATTTGGGGTGGATGCAGCATCCTCCCAGTGCTGCTGACACCCGCTCTGAGCCCAGCCCCCACCAAGAAAAGCCCCGCACAGCCACCGGTGCAGCCCAGCCTGCCCCATGCAGATCCAGTGGGCACATGCCCCCCCTCCATGCCCTCACAGGGTTCAAGCAGTGGCGGGAGCTGCCTCTCTGCCACCCCCCACCCCGGGGCAGCACCCTCCCTCACTGCAGGGGGCATTAATCTGCGCCCCCACCACGCCCCTTCCCTTCCTCCTCCCCTTCCACCACACCTGACTTACCAGCTGGAGGCAACTCTCAATGCTGCCAGCTGTGGTCCTTGGTGCCTGAGTGCTGCGCTGTGGCTGCATGCAGCACAGGCATTTATCGGCCAGGTTATCGGCCCCATTGGGCCAATATCCGATACAGCCAGTTTTCTTTATATCCGTACCAATACAATGCAACCTCTAATTTTTATCCATATCCCAGGGCATTTGGCCCTTTGTAACTTGTCACCAGATATACACAAGCTGGTTAGTGCTCAGCATCTGAAGAAGCTACTCAGCATTCTTGTAATCATTTAAAGTGTGCCCCTAAGGCTTCATTTATTGCATAGCAAGAACATCCAAACCCTGTATTGAATAAGGATTGCTTTTGTTCTTTCTAGGCTTTTCTAATGAACAGATTTAGCTTCACAACCGTCCTGCAAAACTGTAAAGCAGTTAATAAAGCCTCCCAAATGCATACTATAGACAAAAAGAGATTGTGACCTCTAAAATTTAGTGCCTGTAGAGTTTCTAGAGCTGTCTCCACTTTCCAGGCTTCCCTTCTCCCCCTTTCTTTTCCTCCACAAGGGGTTTTATTTCAGGAAGATAAAATCTAGCCTTAAGCTAAAAGTTCATGGCAGTAAAAAGTGATTGATGACATGTGTTGGTTAATCAGCCTAACAAAGGCCTTTAATTTAAAATAAGAACCAAAAAAGAGACATTATAACAAAAATCTAAACAACAAACTCCCCAGTTTTCTGAAAACATCTAAAGCCTCTTCAGTTAGCCTAATATTTTGCTTTCCAATTTTTTCATGAAGATAACATCTTCATTCTACATTAAGTCTTATTTTCAGTGATCCCTAATTCTCATAAACCAAATGCACACCTAGCATACATGTCAGAGAAGGATTTGGCCCATTGACTTCCACAGTAATGCTCACCTGAGTAAAGGGTAGCAGGCCAAGCTCCAAAAGGTGCCACAGTAATTCATGACTCCATTGACTTTAGTATGGAGACGGATCATATGGATTTGAAAGTGGACATAAGCCCAAGAAAGAGCATTGTGTTGACTTCCAGGAAGCAGTTATGTACAAAGCAAAATTTACTTTTTTTTTAAATAACATTTTCATTTTTCATAGGCTTCCTTGTTCTTCAATGTATCAGAACTTCAGTCAGCTGAATATGGAGGACTCAGCTAGAAGAGAAAAAGAAAGACACCAGCTGTAAGGTAGTTATTGATACTCATTAAAATGCAAATCAAGTCCCGCATTTCTAAAGGGAATTGCCATTACAGCTGGTAGTCATAGTGCAAACAGCTAAAACTCTAATGCATGTAATGCTTCCCTGTTCTAGACCCTGTCTAGATGTTTTTAGACTCAAGGCACACGTTGGAAAAAGCCAGCTCTTAGTTTTACACCTGTTTTTTGACTACAGAAAAATAATAGAGCAATTCTTCCATTGCAAAGAACTAGGAAAGACCACAACCCTATGGATTCCTCTTTGAAAACTCTAGGTTTATCTTGGGAGTCATGTTTGCACATCTAACAGTGGTAACATTGCATGGACCCTGCAGCACCCTTGAAATAACCTCAAGGCACCTCAGGGTGCCAAAACAACTTGGTTGAGAATCACTGATCTAGAGACTGTCTAATAGTTTTTAGGTCCTTTTTTGTTTGAATATATAGTGTGGGTGAGGGAGTACACCATAAATAACTTTTCTTAAATGTAAACACTTTTCTGTGGTCCTTGAGGCCCAAGCCTGGGTACAACAGGATTTTTAAAATGCATATCATGTCTCTTAGGTGGATTAGGGGCTTGCTGGAAAACTGTCAAAAGCTGCTGCTGTTAAAACTCTTATAATGTGACCTGGGGTGTGCCCTCCTGCCTTGCCACTGCAGCTTCTCACTCTAATCTTCTATGCCCTGCATTGTGATCTCCTCCCCTTTCAAAGGTGGAGAGACCCATTTGATTTGACTGTCAAAGCTTGCTGCTGAGAGTGTGGTTTGATTTAAGACAACACTTGTGAACTCCCCTAACATTCCCACTTACACCGAGTCAAACATGAAGTGTTAAATTAAACCTGCAAAGGCCAGAGTTCAGTTTCCCTGATTCCCACCCGCCTCTGACCAGAACCCAGATTAATCAGCATTTCCAGCATAACCCTGCAACCTGCCCCACACTATTTAGAAGCACCCAGGCATTCCATCAGCAAGTTACTTGTCCCCTCAGATCCTGTTTCTCTTCCTCTCAACCTAAACATTTCTGCTGTAGTCAGCACTGGTGAAGCCTCACCTGGAGGGCTGTGTCTAGCTTTGGGACCCACACATCAAGAATGTGGACAGATTCTAGAGTCCAGTGAAGAGGGGCCTGGGAAGCAAGACTTAGGAAGAAAGTCTGAGAGAACTATGATTATTTGGTATGAAGAAGAAAAGACTGAGGAGGGATTTGATAACCATTTTCAAATACCTGAAGAGGGATCATAGAGAGAATGAAGATAGGGGTAGGCTTTCCTCTGTGACCATAGGGGACAGAAGTAGGAGCAGCAGCTTTAAGCTGTAGCAGAGGAAATTTAGGTTGGAGATCAGGAGGAACTTTCTGACCATGAGGATGGTCAAGCATTGGAACAGGCTACCAAGAGAAATTGTGGAATCTCCATCTTTGGAAATATTTAAGAGCAGGTTGGACAGACACTTGGCTGGGATGATTTAGTCGGGGATGATCCTGCCTTGAGCAGAGCGCTGGACAAGATGACCTTTTGAGGTCCCTTCCAGCCCTACTTTCCTATGATCCTGTGATCCTAAACAATCCACCAAAGGGATCAAGGGAGAAGATACAAAGGAATATAGTGAGCACTGCAGACATGTTGTAGGTAGGGAATGCTTTTTGAGTCTCATTGTTAGATTGGAAGAACTAGTTTCCAGAAATCTCTGACTATAAACAAAATATTAAACTAACTTAATGCTAAGTGAAATGAAAGTTCAGCAATGGCATAAATAAGGCAGTTCAGAATTCTGCAATACTCCTGACACACATAATACAAAGTTAAGTTAATAACATGGATCAGGAGACTTTAAAAAAATAATTTTGAAAGGGACAGTGATTTTTAAAGATGGATTTTAAAGAAAACTGGTATTTCAATAATCTGGGTTGTTTTTGAAATCCCAGGGTTTTTTTAGTTAGGTGATCAGGGTGCTAGTTGGGGAAAGAGGGAGTACAGAAAAGGAATATATTTGGCTTCTTCAGTAACCTTTCAGTTTGCTCTGCATTAACAAACCGTGATTCTACACCAGGAGGTTGGCAGTGTCAGGAGCCACAGGCATGCCTACACTGCATCAGAAGGTGCTAAAGAGTGCTGCCATGAGCACATGCTCCATCTGCTTGTTTCTACTCAGAAACGATGTCATGTAGCTACTTTCTGGCACATGCCTACAGCCACTCACAGGTTTTCAGTATTGGGTGTGCTCATGACAGCAGATACATAGCATACTTTTTCAAGCAAGCACGCAGGTGGTTTTCAGGGTGGCCCTCCTAACACTCTGTAATGCTATGTAGGCATACCATTAGGGTAGTTTCAGTTCTGCCACAGTCTGTACTGTGTGTTTTTTAAAAAGGTCATTTGAAGGAGAACTGAATGCCTTAAAGACATAAGCAGTGTTAGATCATAAATCAGTGAATGCATATATGTAATGTAATCCTGGACTCAAAACAGGAAGTTTTCTTATAAATCTTTTAAGCCAAGAGTGTTTTGTTTCTCTGATAACATCCTGTTAGACCCTTCACTGTTATAAGGTAGTGTAGCTGACTTTGGGTTGAACTGTATTACACCAGCTGTGGTATAAAGTGTGGTGAGACTTAAATTAATATATATAAAGAAGTTTGAGATCCTTGCATGGAAAATGTCTAAGATACAGGCAACCCCCACTTGGCGCTCTTAATTTGTTCCTGAAAAACAGAGTGTTAAGCGAAACGAGCATTAAGTGAAATCGAAAGTATATGATGACCCAGGATGGTGACCACAGTTGTTTTTAATGACCCAAGATGGCAACTGTGAACGTTATAACGAATCTTGCTGAGTGCTAAGTGAAATCAGGTATCAATTTCAAATGAGTGTTATAGCGAAATAGCGCTAAGTGAAACAGCATTAAATGGGGGTTGCCTGTATAAAATTCACAGTACTATAGTGCCTATGAAAAAGACACCATTTCCTACCACACACAGTTTTCTAACATACCACAGAATTTTACTGTATTTACAGTAGGAAATAACAGCGTTATCTTCCTTTTCACTGTATGATAACTAGTGCTGAGATATATATTTTTAACAGTGATAACTAAAATTAACCCTTGGCATTGCAAAAGCAGCATTTCTCCCAATTGGAATTTTTACTTTCTGTGTTATGTAACCCATCTACTTTGTATAAAAATTATGAATAGAAAAACTTTCCACATACAGCAGTTTCAATTACTGTGGGACTTAGGTGTTCTCTCAGCACAGCATAAACACTTGGAGACATGGGAAGAAGATCTGATGGAGAATGTGGATCTGTGGAATCATTTAGGCTTAAAAGAAAAACAAAGAAAAATAATCTTTAAAATGACTTGGAAATGCTAGGAAGAAATCCCATTGTAATTTACTGCATCAATAAGGGATGCAGGAACTGCAGTTATTATTCTATAGTGGACCTGTCTACAAATTTAACTGATTTACCAATGAAGGGGCCCACTGATTACTGTATAGATGCATGCCAGTTTCTTATTAGCCAGCAAAGGGTCATACTTTTAATGGAACATTGTACACTTTATTCTATTCCAGCAGGCCAAAGGAGTCCTAAAAAAAGTTTATTTTGCCAATTCTGCCTGCATAGGGACATCCTCAGGTGACATTGTTGCTACATCACTACCACCTTCTGGTCTCTTGAGATGAGTTGTGATAAAGGAAAGAATTTGGAGCCCAGCTCTATAATGGCTCCTGAAGGTTATTTTAAGATGATATAGATTAAAGTAACCTAAATACTATATACTATACTAATTTATGCAGAATGCCTTTCCCAACACCTGGACAACATCCTGAATATGAGAGCATAAGGTGGCTCAATGCCCACTTTACTTTTACTTAGTCCTGTCTTACACTGAGCACTTCTGGCTAGTCCTTCTTGTCTCTGGACTGGAAAAATGAAGGCCGTATATCTTTGTGTTGTCATGAGCAGGTCTATCCATGGGGAAAATGGTATAAAAAAGGAAAGAGGTGGGGAAAGTGCATGTAGTTTTACTCAATAACACTCAAAGTACATAGGTGCCCTGAGATTTACTTACATTTTGGAGATTGGGATAAATACAGAGGGAACATAACCTTTGACTCCTTCTGTAGGTCTTGAGACTAAAATGAAAGAAAGTTAGAAAAAATAAATGCTCTAACGTTTTTAGTCTTAGTATCTACTGATATTTGATACAAATATTTTAAAATCTGCAGACAATATGGGCTAAAAAAGGAAACATAAAAAGTTGTTTAATTACAAGTAGGCAATGAGCAGATGGCTATACACAGGGTAAATTGCCAAGATAAGGCTCAATCCTGGAATGGCTTCTGTACATAAGTGACTATGCTCACTTACATTCTTTGAAGTTATGGAGACTACTTAAGTGACTGGAGTTAGATGCTAAAGTTTTTGCATGTTTCAGCCTTTAGTTCCCAATCCAAAAACCCAAATATGCATCTATATATTGACTTCAGTGAGGCTACTCACATACATAAAGTTAAACCTATGTATGAGTTTTCAGAGGACCAGAGCCTAAACTCACTAAATTAATATGAAAGACTCCCAAATATTAGTCTCTGAATATTGTCTAGGAACCAAATTTTGCATTGGCATAAGAGGACCACTGAATCATCTGAAGTTGTATCCAACAAGTTGTATCTACCAATCCAGATTAATGTTCTTTTTCTAAGAAAAGACAGATGCTATATTTTTATTGCAAGTTTATGATGTATGTACAAAATATATACAAAAAAGAACTTGTCTAAAACATATCATGAGACAAGATGAGACTGTGCACCTTCTTAACTAATCTTGACTGGCAGTCTTAGTCAATGTATTTTCCATGGGCTTACAGCTGATCTGCCCCTAGAATTCTAAGTTGTTCTATGAACTGCTTGAATAATGTTAAGTTCCTGAAATCTCAAGTGACTAATTCTTAGACCTGCAGAAACAGCACATGACAGTGCAACATAATTGCTCAAACACGGAAGCAGAAAGACTTTAGAAGCAGAAACGATAATAATATAGTAAAAAAACTGGCACAGAAATATTATTTGAAAGTACATTTATTTTTGTGAACCGTAAGCAGAATAGACTTCCTACAATATTATTGCTTTTACAGAGAGATGTATTTCTTAGCCTCTCTGTGTGTATCATTGTTTGGTGTTTGTATTGCAGTTGCACTGAGGGATCACAGATCACAATCCCATTGTACTAGTTCAGGGGTTGGCAGTGGTTTTAGGCAGAGTGCCAAAAACACCTACAACCTCAACTTGTAAGATGTTGATGTGATGCAGGACAGCCATGAGGGGCCCAGTTCTTGTTGTGGCCGCAGAACCCCAGCCCTTTCCCTGCCTTCTGCCCCAAGGTACCACACCTTTGTGCTGGGGATTGCCTACCCCTGTGCTAGATGTTGTATAAACATAGAAAAAAAACCCCACAGTTCTTCCTTTTTTGCCTTATGCTTAGATAATAAATTCCTAGGACAACATATCTAAACAAGAGACAGAGTAAACAAAAAAAGCAAGTACAGTTCTCACAGAAGCATCTAAATCTGTTTTCCACATAAAAACATTTTTGAGTATCTTCTGAATTTATAATTTAAAAAAAGTAACATTAAACATAGAAAACAAAGCCTAACCTTCATTTGGCTGACAGCTGTAGTATCTGCCAAAAGCTTTATCTTTGGGGATGTCTGGATACAGATATTTCAGAGGGTTTTCAGGAACATTATCTGCCATAATAACTTTGTAATCCCGCAGAATGTCAGCAAATGGTAGTGCAGTTAAACGACCTTTATTATAGGGTTCCACTGAGTGGAATCTTACTTCTCCTGCATGATATGAAGAGCAGAATTGTTAATAGGCAAATAGCTTGCCAGTCATAATCAGCAACATGCTTCACCTTTCATTCACACTTAAGGTTGCCTGGAATTTATACATAATGCAGGATTCGTGTCACTCAAATTATTGTGGAAAGCCTTTTTGCACACAGTGGGCCAAATTTTTCCCTGGAGTAAACAGATGCAATTCCAGCTGAACCCAACAGAAGCTTTTCCTGTTTACTCCAAAGAATTGTGAAGCCTATCATTTTCAGGTCAGAATCCATATACCCCACAGGGAACGGTAATTAGTAAAACATACAGGGTCAGATCAAGTGGTGTTAACTGACACAACCCACTGATTTTAGCTGAATGATGCTGATTTACACTCCATAAAATATCTGGACTGTTGCATTTATTTGAAGGGGTTTCATTTTTATTTTATAAGACAATAATATTGGTCTCAAAACAGGACTGTGATATGATAAACAGTCCTTTTCAAAACTGTCTAAGATGGTTGCAACATATTAATTTGAATTTTAAAACAATCTGTTCCCTTTACGACAGTTAATGCTCCTGACAAATGACTAGGACTTTGAGTTCTGCCTTGTTTATTTGTGTGCTTTATATTGCACTTACCATTTTCTGAGTGGTCCACCCAGGTGAAGGTAATTCCTCCCAAATTGCTTTCACTAAACCTTAATAAAAATGTTCCAGGCATCTTGTCCTTGAGCAAAATTCGTTCTTTCTCCTTACTCACAAATCCCATTATATACCTATGAGTATAAAAAATCCTGGCTTTATTTATGGGGATAATTATCACATCTAGTCTACGGCATTCATTTGGTCAGCTTTTATGCAGCAAAACTAGATTTGTGCCAATCAAGGTGAAAAGCTGATTTTAGTATGATCCAATCTTGTAGACCTCACAAATGAAGTTAGCTACCCAGATGAAGTTGACCACCCACACAAAGTTAGCGAGTTTCACCTGTGGAGGATCACAACCTTGGGCCCACAGCAGAATGCAGCATGACAAAATTTATCATAATCCTTGAATGTAAGCTAACTGTGTCTTTAAAAGAGTAATATGAATATTCAATTTAAATAGGTCTCAATAAAGTTCTTTATTAACTTTTTGCCATGAAATAAATAATTGCACAAAATATGGCATGGCTAAAACATTCCTTAGTCTTTCAAAATTATTTTCTGAAGTACTGGATACAACCTTAATACAGATAATGGACAAATAAGACGCACGTTAAATTAATGTGCAGTTGCTAGTATATTGCTTACCCATCAATCCAGAGAGGAAGAATATGTTTTTTAATTAGGTCCAGTATTGCTTCCAGCCATACCCAAAAAGTGAATGACTTTCCAGGTAAATGTTCCTATTGGTTAAAAAAAAGATACTGACAATTTTTTTGACACAGTATCCATATCAGGAGTTCCTATGTAAGTGACAGTGATAGAGAGATTTTTTCAAACCAGTAATTCAAATAATCTATTCATGTGGAAAAATAAAATATCTATATGATATAACTTATATTTCAAGAACTTTCCTAGAAGTGCTCCCATTTATTCTCTCCCAAAAGAAAAATGTGTATCTACATCACATTCTGCTTCATGAAATTACATTTCAAGACTGCACAGCACATGGGACAAGCTGGACTTTCCTTACAAGAATTTTCAATTATATTTTAAATAATGAGTAAGTAGTATGAATATGATCAGTATTTTGTCTGATTTACACCAAAGTAACTTAGATATATTAATAGACTTAGATCCTGTCAGTTTTTCAAGTAGCCCTGCTTTAGGTCACACATGAGTATTTGGAATAATTTACTGTGTCCTTTATTAACAGAATCCATATATAACCTCTTAAATGATGGTCAGGGTCTGGCTCAAATTAATGATATGATGTTCACTTAAATAAGTCATTAGCTGACTGGAATGTACCAGGAAGATTCAGATAAGCTGACCGGCTAATGTCCAAGCCACTGATTCTATATTGATGACCATTATGTGGAGTAAATAGGCATTAAACTAAGGGTGCACTGATAAAAAAATGTAGGGCCGATACTGATGGCCAATTATTAATGAGCTGCATTGGCTGCTACCGATCTGATTGCCAATATGCAGCCTGGCAGCTTGGAGTGCAGCATCTGGCTGCTAAGTCTGGGTGGGAAGGGGCAGGGAAAGGGGCATGGGGGAGTAGATCAAGGCCCTTGTGGTTAGGGAGTGGGGCTAGGGCAGGGATAGGTGCTGCCCATCTGGGGCAGGGTGCAACACGGAGCCACAAGAGGCTTGTCTGGGGGGCACAAGGAGAAGCAGGGTGTGTGTTCCCCTGATCTGTGTGTGGGGTGAGGGCAGGTTGCTGTTGTGGGCTGGGGCTGGGGGCAGTGCCAGGTTCTTCCCAGTAGGGGGGGTTGGGCTGGGGCTGCACTAGGGCTGCACTGGGGTGGGGAGGGGGGGCTATAGGGTGGGCTGTAGCCATGCCAGAATTCACTGTAGCCCTCCCTCCCAGTGCTGTCATGCGTCCCCCTCCCCCACTCACAGCTTTGGCCTGTGCCCTGCCTTGGCTGGGCAGCATCTGCCCTAGCCCCAGCTCCACTCCCTTCCTCACTGCAGGGGCCTGGATCTGCCCCCACCCCATGCTCCTCCCTTCCCCCTTTCCCCCCAAAAGACTTACCACCTGGATGCTGCTCTGCAAGCTGCTGGGCTCGCTGTATGCAGGGTGCAGATGCACATGGCATTTATTGGCAACATTACTGGCCACATCAGCCAAAAAAAGCTTGTTGCTGATAATGTCAATTTTCCTTTTATTGGTGCCGATATGATTTGGACCAATATATCGGTGCACCTCTAGCATGAACCCTGGTTTAGGACACAAACTCATCTCACCCAGCCTTTTTACTTTAAGAAACTCCATTTGTTCTTTCCATCAAGTAATATTTTAGAATTAATGTAAGAACCCTGGGCCTGGAAATCCTGATAAGGGTAACCCATTGTGATGTCAGGCCTTGCCCTTTAGCTTTCAGTTAGGAGATTTGTTACTGGGACAGATGTTATATTTATTATGTGATTAATGGCAACATGCCACATATTCAACTAATTTATGATGATGTAAAGTTGCAAACTAGCCATAAGGATTTAGTGTGAAACATCTTAGTGGCTGGTTTGTCTAGCATTTTAATTTGAACATATGGCATGGTCTGCCTTGCCTTGCAGCCACACATGACAAGACGTGGAGTGCAGGGCAAGACAGGAAATGTGCCAGGCACATGGGAAGCAGATGGACTCCCCAGTGCTCTGCACTATTAAATGCCTTGTCCTCCACCTCACATATGAGCTACAGAGCAAGGCAGGAAACATACTGGGTGTGAAGGGCAGCCCATCAGTTCTCCTGCATCTGGCACTTTTATACACCTTGCCCTGTACCTACACATGAGCTGTAGGGCAAGGCAGGAAACGTGCTAGATACAGGGGGAGGTGATGGACTCTCCAAACCCCAACAGTTTCAAATGCTGTGCCCTCTACACTGCATGCAGGCTGCACAGCAAGAATGGAAACATGCAGGGGCATAAGGAGCCCTGCCTTCGGGATCGGGTAGGAGGCAGCCCTGCACCCTGGTTCAGAACTCTGGGCTGTCTCTTGCTTGATCTTGGGTATCAGCCACCAGAACATGGGGAGCCCCATCTCAAAAATCAGAATGCTGAGATCCCTGTATGCCATCAGTCACATGATCTGGATCTGAGTAACTGCCCAACCCCTAAGATCATGTGCCCTGCCATGCATGACTGGCATGACAGATTGCACGATTTTGGGGATTGGGCATAAAATTCCTTGGATCCTAATCCTGCGATTATATTAATGTCTGTCAGGGGCCTGAGATTAATTAGGTAAAATCAGTCCTTCATTCAAGCACTTAAAGAGCACTGTAATTTTCTTTTCACAACCATACCTTGCAGAACTTTCCCCAGGACAGTTGATAGTCACTGTAACTAGTTTGTTGCCCTAAAATTTAAAAAGAAATGTGAATCAATTAGTACAAAGTTCCTGAAATCAATTTGTTTGTGACACATCAATATAAAAACATTTGCATTATACATGACATTGAACAGAATAATATCACAAGCCAAATTAGTCTGAACCTGGACCTGCAGTTTGATCATCCCAACTATACCTTAAACAATTTTGGACTTCTGTTCTACACTGCCAGATAAACCATGTCCCTTATGTCCAAATCTCATCAGTTTCCTCCTGTCTTGAGGCTTTCTGTTCAAAGTTGTAGTAATTTTTTTTCTGATACATATGTCCTTACTAATTTACTTCTTGATTAATGCTAAGAAATAAAGTTCTATGCCAGGGTAGCTAAGGCATCTTGCTATAACTATGAAGGCATGCATTCAAGCCCTGCTCTGGGCTCATGCTATAGGTTACCCTTACTTGACTGAGCTGTGGATGGGTACCTGGGCATTCATGGTGGGAGTCAAATATGGTCAGTAGGGCTGTACGAAGCTTCGGTCCCTGATTCAATTCAGCAGAGATTTGGCCCAATTTGGTGGCCGAATCTCCAAATCTGAATCGCATCAGAGGACCCTTTAATCTTTCCGAATCAAATCGGAACTCTCCAAATTGATTTGGAGAGATTCAGAAAGATTTGGCGATTCAGACACAGACACAGCTTTAACTGTTTTTTCTACATACTTCAAGGTAGCAGGCGGCTCATGAATGCTGTGATGGTGGGGTGAATGGGGCTTCCCAGGGCGCTTGGCAGCAGACCCAGAAATGGACCAGAAGCACTTCCAGTCCACTTCCAGGTCCATCAGGGAGTGCACTGGGGGGGCCCCCTGGCTCGGTGACTGGTGCCTCCTGAGTCTGGGGGAGGGGAGGGAGACACCCGGGCTCCCCTGCGGCCGATTGCTGAGCGGGGGAGGCTCCCCAGCATGCTCCCCGGCAGAACTGGAAGTGGACTGGAAGTACTTCCGGTCCACTTCCAGGTTCGCTGCTGAGCACATGGAGGGCCCCCTCGCACTCCTGTGGGATGCTCCTTGCGCCCCAGCATTGCAGCTATCATGAGCCGCACCTGCTACCTCAAGGTATGTAGAAAATTTTTTTTAAAGCTGTGTCTATGTCCAAATCACTGATTCTCCAAATCGGCATTGAATCTTCAGATTCAGCCGAATTGAATCAGGGACGGTGATCCAAATCAATGAATCAAATCACTGTCCCTGATTCGGGCAGAATCCAAATCCGAATCCATATTGAATAGGGCCTGCTTCACACACCTTTAGTGGTCAGATACAACGCTGGCCACAGCATTTGTTTATGTACTGTTGGCTAAGATACTGCCATGCCTTAACCATGCTAACTGAATCTTTTTATTATTATTAATCTATTGATGAGCATTTCCTTGTTCTAGCTTTCCTTTATACTCAACAACTAATTTCCAGCTTTAATTATATGGTTACACCTTTTTAAGCCTTAGAAATCTCCTCACTCTCACAGCTTCCAGAATTTAGCCAAAGAACCCCTGTGATTTGTCAACATCTTAACTATCTCCACTTACGTACAGAAAAAAACAAGTTCTCTAATTCTATCAGCTTCATTCAGAGCCTGTACTCTTCTTTTGGAGAACAGGCAGGCAGATATTTGCCTCTCTCTCTCCTGCCACTTAAAGGTTTCTATTATCTGTACAACCCTACCACTTCCTGTCTACACAGGTGCTCCATCAGCATAGTAGGAGTGACTCCACTCTACACTCAGGAAACAAGGGCCCAGAATTAAAAAGAATCTTGTTTTTTTTTAAACTACAAAAACTAGGTTTCTTTTTTCTTTTTATTTCCTAACACATTTGTTAAGAAAGTTTGCTGGGGTTTAATGCAACTCTGACTCCCTTTAATTTATGTTAGTAGTTTAAAAGTTTATGAGATCTCTATGAACTATTGATCATGAATAAGTTGATGTGTATTATTTTCTTCAAAATATTTTAATGCATGTTGACATTGATAAGCTAAATGCTGGAAAGTAGAAGTTTCACAGAAAAATGGTCACCTGTGACTACTGATTGCTGGAGCTCAATTTATGTATTTACAACCTGAATTAGAATTAGCTTAACAGCTGGGGACCTGAGGGACATTTCAGACTCAGTTTTTGACTTCTAACTTGCACATGGACAGAGCTTAGCCTGTCAGGTTTAATATTTAGAGGAAAATGGAAAGAGAATGGCTTTCATAGTTTCCTGGTTTCTTACCCATCAGTTTCTCTGCCAGCATACTGAGCTGCTCAGAATTAAGTCCACGACCAACATATGATGAAAACTGCCAGCTTAGTACTTCCAGTAGCTGACTCAAAGTGGCAGCAGGGGGATTGTTAAAGAAAGACAAGTTCTGAAATAGAATTAATGCTTTGTTTAAACATTGTGAGTCACTCTGTGAAATAACGGAAGCCCCAGACTGCAAAAGAAATTCAGATATACTTTAAAAGCACCATTTTCTGAGACTTAAGATAACTCAGCTGAAAAGCTAACCACTAAGTGCAGATGTTCTTGCAAGGCAATTTTTAATCTGGAATAAACAAAATTTCAGTATGCCAGCTGTAGTAACTAACCTTTTAGATGCTTTATATTGTTTATAATGTTGAATTCTTTGGCTAATATTAGGGGTTTTTTTGTTTTGTTTTAAAATTGATTCCATTAAGCATACACCTAGAACCCCTGGCCTGTAGGCCAGATCTGGCTCCCAGCACCATGTCATCCAGCTTGCGGGGCTCCGCATGGGTCTGAAAAATTGGCAGCAGGGGACCAGTGCCCCTGCTCTGGACCCATGGGGAGCCCTGGGTCCTGTGCATTAGATTGGGCATATAGGGCAGTACAGAGCCTGATCTCAGGAAGCAGGGGCCATATGATGACAGATGGAACCCTATCTGGGCATCCGAGGCTGGACAGAGGCAGCACAGGGTCCAATCCCAGCATGTGAAGCTTGATCTGGCCTATGGACTGGCACTGTACCATTCAATTGGCCCTGTACCACTCACAGGGCTAAAAGCTTGAGCACCACTGGTCTAGAACACACTGGGTGCATCTACATGTGCAAAAGATCTGGGAGCAGTTTATTCTCAAGTAAACTACTTGAGAGTAAACACTCCTAGGCACATGTCTATATGTACAGGCATGAGGTAGCAGATTTGCTGCTCCTAGCAGCAGACTGCTCCTACTCCCTGTGGCCCTGCAACCGGTCTCTGCAGCAGCCAGGGGGAGCTCTAGGCTCCCCCTGGGTGCTCGCCTAAGGACCAGGAGACAGCTGTCTCCTGGAAATCTCTGCTGCCAGGGCAGAGGAACATTGTCCCTGCCCGGGCTCCAGTGGTGGAGCCTGCCCTGGCACCAGGCAGCTCCCAGGGGCAGGGAGAAATCTCCTGCCTCTGCTGCCTGTCCTACCAGGAGCACGTGCACTACTGTGAAGTTACTAATCTTGAGTAAATTTGCTACTTGCATTTGCAGGCCTGTACGTGGATGTTTACTGTGCAGTAAAGCATCTCGTATAGATGCACCCACTAATGACTATTTTCATAAGACTTTGTTAAGCAGCATGTGTGTGTTAAAAACAGAACCTAAACCTTGGATATGGCCTTGCTTATAACTATGAAAGGAAAATAACTTTGTATGTTAATAGTAGTGTTGACACCAAAAACAAACAGGTATAAATTGGCCATGGAACTTGGGAGATTTTTAACTGTCTGTGCTGTGAGTGTCTGGAACTGTTTCCAATCAGAGTAGCAAGGGCAAGAAATCTGTTTCTGATAGATGCAGGACTACAAGATTTCCATATACAACCTTCCACTTTCTGCCCAACTTCTAGGGAAACCATATTGAGTGAATAAAAGGGTACTTAAATCTACAGCACTGCCCTCTTTATCAAGACAAATTTTTAGTGCCATTAGTGACTTGCCCCCTATGAACTGATCAGACACTATTAAGTCACTTCACACAAATCAAAATATAGGAAGAAAATGGTGACAGTTTCAAATCAGTATTGACCAAAGTCACATTTGAACTATCAACTGAAGAGAAAAGGGCATTCTATCATGATCCGAAGAGCCAGCCAATTCCCCATGTAAACTTGGTTTTATTATACATGTAAATATGGATAACTTACAAGGTATGTATAGAAAACATGGCTAATTTTCCTAGAAGTATCAGAAATAATGAAAAAAAACACCTTTTTTCCCCAATGGATGTGTTTTCTAAGTGGATAACGGAGATTGGAAAGGTATAGGAAGGTTGTGTTTTGGATTTAAAGACTTACCTGAGGATCATTTGTTGACAAGTTATACCAAATAATAGAAGCCCAAGCATTAGGTAACTGACTGACATTGGAAATCATCACCACAGGCAAAGAGCTTGTCTGGTGAAAAGGAGAAATAAAGAATGTGAGTGTTGCAAAATGTGGCAAACATGGAAATTACTGGAGCATTATTAGTTATAACAAATAAAATAATATGATATTAAAAAAAACTGTAATGATCTTATCATCAGCTCTACCTTTCCCTGTATTCCTGAAACAAATCTAGTGAGGTATTGTCATTGGCTTATTTTTCATCTGTGTTCTAGTAGATACTTTCTCAGGAACCCAGTGAACGTTGAAGTTCAGTAGTATCTATAGGCATAGTGCATTATATGCTCCTAAAGCTTTTGTGTGCTTTGGTGCCACTTGGAGGATTGCAAACTGCTTCTACTGAACTCAGAGGAAATTGCCATTGACTTTATTGCTCAGTTTGGCTGCCATTGATTTCTCTACTAAACAAGATGTATCTATGCTATCCCTAAGTGAAGTGTACCCAGCAAATCAGAGTTAAAACAAAAATAAGTATTTGTGTTTTTGAACTAAACATGTAAAAAAGGCATCTTCTACCCATAAACCGTGGAAATTTTATAAGCAACAGATATTGTCTTGGTTTGAAATAAAAAAACTTAAAAAAACAAACAAAAACAACTCACTTCCAAATCTATGGTTAATCCATATAGACAGACTTGAGTTTCAAAGCTGATGGAGTGCAGCTCTTCAGTTACCATATGAGGGCCCTGAGGGAGCAAACAGTTTATGCAATTGTGAGCACAGCTGACATTTAAAACTGTTTTGGCACCTTGATTATTAACCAAACTGCTCAGAGTATACAACACTGAAAGAAAATACATCTATTGAATTACTTAGCAGTGGAAACTGTGGGGTTTTTTTTAAGAGATAAAAGAGCTTAAGACCTTAAATTCTGTCTAGAACTCTTGTGGTTTTCCGAAGTCATCAAGAAAGACTGTTTTAAATGTGTTATACTTTCATAAAGAAACAAAAATAACTGTATTTTCTGTAACCCATATTTTGTTTTGTTTTTAAAAAAAGCTGCTTCCCTGATTGATAGTTGTAATGTAAAACACAGATTCGCATTTCTTAAAAGATTCTGTCGGTCTTTGGTAGTTTGGGGCCATTAGCTCTCAGGCGTGGTAATCCTGAGCTGCAACCCTCAGTCTCTCTGCTGTCCAAGAGCTCCTCTTGTGTTTAGGACTACATTGTACATATTGCATGAACAGATGTCAGGAGCCCTCCTGCACCATCTTGGATGCAGGGACAGGCTGCATCTCAGGCACAAACTCTCCACTGGCTCCTGCATATACCTAGTGAATGCATGTTCTTGTTCTCTTCCATGCACAGAGCTAGTAGTGCATCTTGCATTGCAGCATACTGAATTTCCTCTGCCAGTAAAAAGGTACCAAGGTTATGGCTTTGCCCTGTTCTTCTACCTTTTTCAGGTGATTTGCTCTCTGAAAGGAACAAGAACAAATAATCTGTGTACAGGGAATGCACCCCTTCACAGACCAAGTAAAGATGGTTTCCTTGCACACTTTCTCTTCAGTATTCTACAGACCTGCAGGGGCAGAATTACAATCTAGCATTCAGTTGGGGACTGCAAAAGCTGCAGATCAGGTTTGAGCTTCCTCTAATGCTGGCTTTCTTCTACAACTGCCAAATTTTACAATTCCTAGTATAATCTTTAGCTGGAATAACCCCAGCTTTGTTGGGGGGAGGGGTGCAGGGAGGAGGAGACTAGGAGGAGCATTGTTTCAAAAATGAAAACAAGGCAAAAAATAAATTTACAAAGTTTCCTTTATACCTCATTAAACCATGAAGGAACAGTATTACTGAGCTTGCAGTTGATGTTGTAAATTCAGCTCTGAATAAATGCCACTCTCACTTAACTGAGGTGTAAACCACTTCTATGAAACCTCCTTGAACAATATTTATTAAGCCCAAAGGTTTAATATACACCCAACTAAAGTGGAAAAACTAACAGAATTAATAAGTAAAAGATTTCTCTGCCTCTGGGACAAATTTTCCAAAGTGTTTAGGCACCTAATGATGCAGATAGGTGCCTAGGGGTGTTTTCCAAAGTGCTTAAGCAATTTAAGTCCATAGGTACTTTTGAAAACCTCACTAAGAGTCTAGCTGCATCTTTAGGTACCTAAATACCATTGAAAATGTACTCCCCTGCCTCCACCTTACCCAGGAGAGATTCTGTTTACTTATTCAAGATACCACACAGCTGCACTGTCTCATTTCCTTGGAGCCCCAGGATCAGCAGTAGTGTGAAACAAAGAACAAGCTATAATAATCAAACAGAATGCTTGTGCTACCAGTTTTAAGGCCTAAATGAGAAGGATTTTTTCTGCTCCTTTCTGTAGCCTTAGCATATTTTTTCAATCACTCTTTCAGCCTGGAACGCTAACAAGTGGCTCCTTCTGTTAACCAAAAATGCTTAATTCTAGTTCCCAGTACAGAGTGAGAATAACTAGATGTGTTTTAAACTGCAGATCTGCAAAACTTTTCCACAGACATATTTGGAGAGGAAGGTCTGTATTCATAAAAGGTAGAAATTGATAGAAGTTTAGCAGCTACTGCAGTCCTGGACAAATCACAAGGATTTTCACCTTGAGTTATTCTGCCTCTGCTGCTTCTGATCCTTCCCCAGTGTGGTCAACAATAATAAGGGAAGTAGTTGTCCACTGGCAGTATATACTGGCTGTGACTTTAAACCAGACAAAATACGTGAATAATGTAAACCTTAAAGGCTAAAAAGTCAGAGAGCAAATAAAAGTAACCAAACTTGATTGCCTGTGATAATCACAAGATTTTTTAAAAATAATGTAATTTCAGAGGAGTAATGCATGGATTGTGAATGCTGGGGGTTAGTAATAAATATAAGTCCTGAGAGGGCACTTGGATCAGAAAACTGTCAGAGAGTATCTTGCAATGTTGGAGAAACACAGTGTATAGCTTCTAAATAATCCTCCATTTCATGCAGTCAGGGTTCACTTATTTCCCATTGTACTGTGAAAAGGGAGAAGATCTGAATAAATCTGAATGTAATAGGAGAGGCCCTTCTATAAGTAAGATAAATGTACAGCATCTGTAGCTAAATCCAAACTTATGCTCCAACAAATGGTGCACAAACTGGGAGCAGGGCATTCCAGTATAAGGCCCTGACCCAACAAGTTGTTCCAAACTATGGGACCCTGTCTGGCCATAGGCTTCCACCACATAAAGCTGCAGGATCCAAGACCTATTGACAAACTTAGGCTCCTGATAGATGTTAAATTAAAGGTGTGATGAGATCTCATGTGGGATCTCAACAATTGCACTTCCTGACATGCCGCATGTGCATGGCAGGTAGTGCGATTGTGGGACTGATTATCAGATCCCATCATGCCACACTGCTGATGCAGGGGGAACCCAGGATCATGATCCCGGACTCTCCCTGCCGTTGGCTCCCTGCATTCCCCTGCCTGACAGCCTCATCAGCTGACCAGCACTCCCAGCCTCTGGAACACATGGGAGTCTTGAAGGGCTCTCTCAGGTGTGCTCCGGAGGCTGGGGGCACCGGCTACATGTTCAATTAAAGGTGTGCTAGGAACCAGCCATAAAATTATAACACATATTATTCCTCATGTTATAATACCATTAATTGAATGTGTGGCTAGGTGACTACTTAAGACATGATTAACCAGGGCACTCTGTGAGCATACAGGTCCACTCACATGGATCCAGCTGTATGATTAGAGACTAAATAATTTTGAGTCAACACTAGTATAAATCAAAATAAACTACTTTAAATAAAAGAAAATCTGCTCGGCAAGAATATTATGAACTTTAACTGAAAACTACCTTATGTAACACTGGAACTGAGTGAAGATCAATGTTTTTGTCCTATGCAAAACTATTTCTTTGAAATTTTATTATTGTCCTAGCTCAGGAAAAAATGTTGAAATAATTTTTTTTTCTGCAAAACAAAAAGCTAAGTAAAAAACAGATAAAGATATAACACAGTGTCTTGTTTTGATATTTTTGATCATAACAAAACATTTCAACATCCCTGAATAAAACACTTTCATTTTCATTTGTTGAAATGAATCAAAAAGTGTTTCAGTTTGAGTCAACTTGACATGAAATCATGTCTGCCTATGGTGACTTATGAGATTTGTAGTTCAGATGCCTCATGGCCTCTCTCTTATACAGCATCCACAGTCATGTGACTGTTATGATCCTCCAGGTAGCAAAGGTGAGACCGCAAGCATGAAAAATACAGGAAGGCCTGGCAGCCAAGCCCATAAGAGAAAATGAGAGCATTGGGTGGCCATGAAGAAATAAAACACTGTAGGTAGGCAGTGTCTAATGCTGGTCTAACTCAAAACAAAATACATCTTTTCATTTTAATTATGAGTGCACCAATAAAGATTTTTGGGGCTAATACCGATATCTGATTTGTAAGGAGGCATATTGGCCAATACTGATCCAATTCAAGCTGGGCAGCTTGAAGAGCAGTGTCCTGCTGGTAAGTCTGTTGTGGTGGAAGAGGAGGGGGAAAGGAAGGGGTGTGGGAGGTGCAGATTGAGGCCCCTGTGGTGAGGGAGGGAGTGGGGCTAGAGCTGGGGCAGGCACTGCCCAGCTGGGGTGGGGCAGGGTGCAGGATGGAGCTATGGCTTGTCTGGGGGGCATGAGGAAGGGAGGTGGCTCCTACTGCTGCGTGCATCCCAAGAGGGCATGTGAGGCATGTGCCCCCCTGATCTGTGTGGGGCAGGGCAGGCTGCCACTGCGGGCTGGGGTTACACCAGGCTCTTCCCGGCAAGCTGAGCCAGGGGCGGGTAGCAGCAGCACTGGGAGGGTGGTTATGGGCAGGGGAGGCTGCAGCTACCCCAAAATTTGCCA